ACTCCAATGGGAGGACACACAATAATCTCTTTTGTCCATTTCCAAGTCTCAGACAATTTTCCCCTCAGGAGATATGGAAAACTGACAACTTATGCAGGAAAATGTATAGAGTTCCTTAATACTGGTGTGGAAAGGAAGAAAGAAATCATAAGAAATAGTATGACCTAGTAAATGGCCAAAAAAAAAAAAGGCATTACATGCCCAAATTGACCAATGGGCTAAAGGTTGGGGACAATTTTGAGTGCCAGCTCTGCAGAAACCATAAAACCAAACCTCACAAAGAAACTTGGAATTTATCACGTAGCATCAGCTTCTGACTCACTGTTCTGGCCACTCACTGGCCAGATGCCTGACACAGAAATACCTCAGTAACCATGGAAGGGGGAGTGTTCTAAGCGGTCTGAATATGGCTGATAATCGTCATTGTTGTTTGGTTAAAGATACTAATCTTCTGGGGTGCCTGAGTGACTCAGTCGGTTAAGTGTTCCACTTGGTTCGGGTCATGATCATGCAGTCCGTGGGTCTGAGCCCTGCATCGGGCTTTGTGCTGACAGCTTAGAGCCTGAAACCTACTTCAGATTCTGTGTCCCCCCCCTCTCTTTATGCCCTTCCCCCGCTCACGTTCCGTCTCTCAAAAATAAATAAATGTTAAAAACATTTTTTTTAAGATACTAATCTGTTATCTCTGTGACAAGAATTTGGCACTCTTACTTTTGCCATCAGCAAGCATATAGGTCTAGAGAAAGGAATAGGCTGAATAACAGGCCTATCCCCTTCCAGCTGAGCAGGAGAGTGGAGGAGACACGGGTGTGTTTAAATACACATGGGGTGTGTGAGGTGTGCCCACAATGGACACATCAGATGCCCTAAACTTGCTTTGCGATTTTGGGGCTGGAACAAGGGCCAAGCCAACCACCAGGGTCTGTTCCCAACACAAGGAGCTTCTGACAGTGTTCAGAGCACATTACTCCAGGATATGGCATCTTGGCATAGAGAATCTTTTAAGCTAAAGAAATTTGAGAAACGACAGGTGAGGAAAAGACTTTCTGATCTTCCCCTGAAGCAGGCCATAAAACTCTCACGCGAGAGGTGCTCTCCCTATACCCAGAGGAAAGGAGCATCCTTATCTCCAAAGATGGAGAGACATGGAGAAGAATCTGAACAAACTTCTTGCTGAGTTTCCCCCAGTTGACTACACTTAGCTCATACCCTTTGTTCTATCACATCTTTCCACAACTTTCCACTTATCATCAAACCTAGCATGAAAACACTCAGGTTTAACCACTTCTTTGGGTCTTCACATCCTTAGCAAGGCTCCCATTTCACATTAAACTTATGTTAAATAAATGTGCGTGTTTTTCTGTTGTTAATCTGTTGTTGTTATAGGGAGCCCAGCTGAGAACTTCAAAGAGTAAAAGGAAAAAATATTTTTCCTCTCCTGCACTTCTAAGATTTGGGATAATTTCAGAAAGATAGATAGGAGAAGTAGACTCTCCCATTCATGTCCTCCCCAATCTGTCTTGCACTTTATCTGTGGTAGCTAGGCAGTAATTCACCTGCCTGAATTAAGACAAAGTGAAGGGGCGCCTGGGTGGCGCAGTCGGTTAAGCGTCCGACTTCGGCCAGGTCACGATCTCGCGGTCCGTGAGTTCGAGCCCCGCGTCAGGCTCTGGGCTGATGGCTCAGAGACTGGAGCCTGTTTCCGATTCTGTGTCTCCGTCTCTCTCCGTCTCTCTCCGTCTCTCTCTGCCCTTCCCCCGTTCATGCTCTGTCTCTCTCTGTCCCAAAAATAAATAAAAAACGTTGAAAAAAAAAAAAAAAGACAAAGTGAAAACTTTATTTCAGGAGTCAGGCAAAGCCCAGTCTTGAGAACTTGGGCAATGGGTGAAAATCCGTGTCAGCCAAGTAAAATGATTCTCAACTAGAAATTGGTATCAGATTCACTGTGGAGTTAACCAAACATAGGTGTGCAAAAGACCTCATTCCCAAAGATTCTGTTTCAGAAGGCCTGGGATCTTGGCATTTAAAAAAAAATTTCTTGGACCATTCTTTTTCTTTTATGTTTATTTTTGAGATAGAGCATGAGCTTGAGCAGGGGCAGAGAGAGAGGGAGATGCAGAATCCAAAGCAGGCTCCATGCTGTCAGCACAGAGCTCAACATGGGGCTTGAACCCACCAACTGTGAGATCATGAGCTAAGTTGAAGTCAGACACTTAACCAACGGAGCCACCCAAGGCACCCCTCTTTAGGCAATTCTGATGTGAGGCCAGGGTTGGGAAGCCCTGCCTAGGGACATGGTAATCAGATACAGTTTCCCTCTGATGGTGAGCTTGGGTACTGTCAGGTTGTGGAAGTGCAGAGAAAAGGGGTCCTGTCCTGACACATGTGGCTGTACAATTGGATATATGAGTGCTAGGCAAATAGACATCTTTTTTCTTTTCTTTTTCAGTTAATAGACCTATTTGTTCAGAGCAATTTTAGGTTTGCAGAAAAATTGGGCAGAAATTATAGAAAATTCTCTTATGCTTCTCCCTTCCTCTCTCTCCTAACCACACAGTCCACAGTTTTCCTGCCATTAACATCTTGTGTTAGTGTGCTCCTTTTGCTGTAATTGATGAACCCATATTGATTATTATTAACTGAAGTCCACAATTTAATTAGGATCAATTTTTTGCATTATACAGTTCTATGGGTTTCGACCATGCATAATGTCATTGTAGGAGAGGAAAAAGTTTTCCTTGCCTCCCTAAGGGTCTCTGGCTAGGTTTGAAAATTAAACCAACAAAGAGAGATTTAGTAGGAGAAAAGCATATGAATTTTATTGAATTTTTTACATGTACATGGGAACCATCACAAGGGAATGAAGAGCTGAAGAAATGACCAGAGCAAGAAACTTCATACCTTTTAGACAAACAAACAAAACATCTGTGAAGAATTGACAAGATAAAGGGGTTTGGTTTGTGAATAGTAAATGGTGAGGAAGTAACTAGAAAGACAAGGGCTAGCTTAACAAGGTTTGTTTGCAGGTTCCTCTGTACCACCTCTGGCTGGTATGTCTTTGTCTCCAGTAAAAGAATTTATTTCCTGCCTTTATGCAAAAGAGAGAGAGAGAGAGAGAGAGAGAGAGAGAGAGCTTTTCTGCATTTACTGATTCTAATTGCCTTTACTGCAAAAATAATTTTTATGTCTAAGAGCCAGATTTTGAGGTGGAGGTCTGGTTTCCTTCAGCATGAACAAGGACTATCTCCTCATTTATTTAGACTTTCTTTAATTTCTTTCATCAGAGTTTTATAGTTTTCCTCATATTGATCTTGTACATTTTTATTAGATTTATATCTAAACATTTCATTTTTCTTTGATGCTAATGTAAAAAAAATTTTTTTTAAATTCCAATAGTTCATTGTTGGTATATAAGAAAGCAATTGATTTTTGTATATTAACCTTGTATGCTACAATTTTGCTATAAATAGACATCATTTTTATCCTGTAGGTAACTGAGGCCATTAAAAGCAAAAGTGTCCCACTATTATATTTATGCTCCAGAAATACTAACTTGGAAGTGATATGTACAACAGATTGGAAGGAAAAGAAGCTTGAGGCTGGGAGTCCATGCAGGAGGCTTTAATGTGAGCCCTCCATGAGACAACAAGATTGTGAATAAAGGTATTGCAGCACCAGTGGAATAGTAATAACAGATTCAAGAGGCAAATACCCTCAATTTGCCCTTTTCCTTCGTGTGTATGGGTCTCTTTGTTACCAAACTCAAACTTGTCCGTGCATCTGACGCACAGTAAGCCAAATTCTGAGACACTGGATTTAAAACAAAGAAAGCTTTATTGTAGGAAAGGCAGCCCAGGGAGAAGTCAGAGGATCATTCCCAAAGCTGCTTTGCCCTGATGAGCTTAGCTACAGCTTATATACATGAGAGAGGGGAAGGTATGAGGTTTCAAGAAACCCCCTTGTTAGGAGGGAGGCCTTGAAACAATCTGGAGGTAAGCATTCTTCTGGAAAATGAGTCGCTATTTGGGACCTGGGATCAGACACATCAAGATAGATGTTACTGTCCGGTCTCTATCAGGTTTCTACAAGTGGTGGGTAAACAGGGAGTAGAGGTGAAAAACTGACTGATGGTGCATGGGGTTAAGAGGTACGTTAAACGGGGGCGCCTGGGTGGCGCAGTCGGTTAAGCGTCCGGCTTCAGCCAGGTCAGGATCTCGTGGTCCGTGAGTTCGAGCCCCGCGTCAGGCTCTGGGCTGATGGCTCGGAGCCTGGAGCCTGTTTCCGATTCTGTGTCTCCCTCTCTCTCTGCCCCTCCCCCGTTCATGCTCTGTCTCTCTCTGTCCCAAAAATAAATAAAAACGTTGAAAAAAAAAAAAATTAAAAAAAAAAAAAAGAGGTATGTTAAACGTAAGTACAGAACAAAACAACGTGGAACTGAGTTAATAATGCAATTAATTCAACTGTAGTTTTGGTCATGCTTTCAAAACAGGTCCAAAAACCAACAGTCCTGCCTTATCTTCACACACAGTTCCCTCTTTGGGGTGCCCTTACCCCACCTCTTCACCTAACTTCTAATTAATCCTCAAAACTCAGTTCAGGTGTTGTGACCTTCTCTCTGCTCACTCCTCACAGTCCCCTGTTGTTTCCTCCACCACAGCTGCAAGTGCTATTTATATTTATTAATATACAATGTAGTGTTCTATTTATCTGGCTGTCTCTTTCATTAAATCATGAGCTCCTGAATCTAAGTAGCCATTATCTAGCCCCCAATAAACATACACATAAATAAATAATTCATTCATGTCTGTTGTTGGAATTCACAACATTATCAAGTACATGACAATTATTATATCAAATTTACATGGTGTGCTTTGTCCTAAAGAACTGAAATCATAGAGCTTCAAAACGCTGAAGCTTCAGATCAGGAAGGAAACACTCAACCCATATCAGGAAGTCATCAGTTCCTCAAAAGTTCTTTGAGTCACGTTGTTTGTTTAAATAGGGCTTACTCCTCCTGTGTCTGCAGTGATACTGATTTTAAACAGTGAGTTTGAGAGTCTGGGTTTCATCCACACTGTGCGTAAGAAGTTCACCTTTCAAGTCCTAGGTTTCTCTTTCCTAGGGCCCAGAACCCATCAGTCCCCTGCTGCACCCAGGTGGACAGGAGGCTCTGGCATACCTGGGAGGGGAACAGCAGACAAAAGCCTCTGAGTCTGGGACTAACCACTGCTTCTGTTCTCAGCGGGAGCCCCAACACGGAGACCTGGTAAGGAGAGAAGCCTGGGAGCTGGGGAGTAGAGCGGTGAAGATGGCTGGAAGGTCTGCGTCAAATAGATGGAGGACAAATATTCCAGGAGGGTGGAGGGAAGAAACAATGTTCTGTAAGCATAAGTATAGGAAAAAGAGAAGAAAATGATCTGCCAATCAGAGGAAAAGACATCTTACCTTATATTCCTCCTCACTGGGCTTCAGTCTCTTCATAGGATTGTGAGACTCAAGTGAGGAAGAAGATAGCTAAAAAAAAAAAAGAAAAAGGAAAGACCAATGACCATCTTAAAAGGCACAATAAAAATCTAAATGGTTGTGAATAATAATTTTGCTCTTATTGCTTCTACTACTATCACTACCTCATTTTTTTCTCTCTTCTTACAGAGAAAAGATGAGACTGGATCTTCTGGGACGCTTTCCTCTCCTCCTGCTGCTGCTGGCTTTATGGGGGCCAGTGCGTCCACTTTGTGCTTGGCGTCAATTCCTCACCAGGGCCCAGTGGTTTGAAATTCAGCATGTAAGGTCAAGCCCTGTCAGCTGCAACACGGAAATGAATGGTGTCAATAATTATACTCGGAACTGTAAGGTTCACAACACCTTTCTGCATGACTCCTTCAAGAACGTGTCTAATACCTGTCTTTTGTCCAACGTGACCTGCAAAAATGGGATGAATAACTGCCACCAGAGTCCACAGCGTGTAAATATGACTGACTGCACACTTACTTCAGGGAAGTATCCAAACTGCAAGTACAAAGATACTCCCCTGTTCAAATTCTACATTATTGCCTGTGATCCCCCTCAGCAGGGCGACCCTCGCTATCGGTGGGTTCCTGTACACTTAGATAAGGTTATTTGAAGTTTCCATCACTTTCCCTGTCATTCAGCACAGGTTTTCTTATGATCTCCTCTGCTATTTCTTTTCCTTTGTTGATTTCCATGGTTCCCATAGAAGAAAGGAGGAGGGTACTGGCGGGGGGGGGGGGGGGGGGGGGATTCACATGCCAAGGATGCAAGACCAGCGCTGGGGACAAAGAGACATGGGATTCTTTTCTGCTTTGGGAGCTCTGTGTGTTTTGAAGGAAGGCAATAGGGAAGAGGGCAAAGAAAGACACAGGCTTCCATATTTTTAATCTTGGAACTTCTGCCAAGCTTTGGTGCACTGTGTTCACAGCAATAAAACCACTTTCTTTTGCATTGTAACGACTATGAGTATGTGTGTTTGGGGCCCCTGTACATCATTGCCACTCTGGAGCCATCTAGACTTGCATTTGCCAGCATTCTCAGAACTATTTGGGTCTTAGGCAACCTTAGAGGTTATTAAGCAACCTTGGGCCTCTGCCACTTCTCTCACCACTGTGTCTTTGGGACTTTGGAGCAAGAAAGTTCTCTATCCCTTCAAACTCTGTTCATAGATTTTACATATTTCCCTTAAAACCATTGTCTATGTTTATCTGTAGGTAGCATGGATGCCTCATAGACTGTTTTGACAGCACTTTCACACACAGATTCTAACACTGACAACTGACGCATCGTAGATATTTACTATTGGTTTCTATATTTCATCAGATAATGTTTTAAATATAGGTAGTAGTAGTAAGTAGTATAGGCTTAGAGTCAATTCTCCCATTATCATTTTTAAAAAAAACTATTTTTTAAATGATTATTTATTTATTTTGAGAGAAAGAATACTAGCAGGGGAGGGGCTGAGAGAGGGGAAGAGAGAGAATCCCAAACAGGCTCTGTGTCATTAGCGCAGAGCCCTATGAGGGCTCAATCTCATGAACCATGATATCATGACCTGAGCTGAAATCAAGACACTCAACCGACTGAGCTACCCAGGTGCCCCCAATTCTCCCAATCTCTTGGAATCAATGAAGAGAAAACATAAATTTAAGAAAAAAAAGCAGTGGGAAACTAAAAAAAAGCCTTATGTAAATCCTGAAATATCACAGAAATAATGGCGTTTTGGAACAGGTAGTGGATTTAGAAATTGAAGGACTAGGGTTAAGAATTAGGCTGGATTAAGAAATTAGGTCTTAGATGTAGGGGAGGAAGAATAATTTTCCCTCTATCCTCCTAGATTCTTGACTGAGACCCTCCCTATCCCATAATAAAAAGGCAGATTAGTGAGACAAAAACCATCTAAATTACGTACATACATATGGGAGCCCCACAAAAATATGAGATACTCAAAAGCAGCCAGCCAGCTGAGGCTTATGTACCATCCTGGGCTAAGGAAAGGATAGGGGTCAAGGATTTTAAGAGGGGAGGGGTGGGGGGAAGGCAATTCATAGCAAGGTAAGAAGAAGAAATGTTTGGTAAACAAAATTTGCCCTGCCATGCAGATGAGCCACTCAGATGAAAAACCAATCTCTATTATAGCTCACTTCCACGTACAGGACCCCTTTCTCATGTAAATTTGCTCTATGAAAGGGTAACCTCTACTCTGCTTTCAGAATTTCTCCTGTGTCTCAAAATGAGCAGCCTAAAATAATTCTTATGCCAAAGAGTCACATTTTGGGGTGGCATATTCTGCTACACATCATACCCTTCAGTTTCCTTGTCAACTACTAGACTCATTGGGCTAGCAGGCCAGTGTAAGTCAAAGTGTTTTGTAGACTGATCTGACTTTGAGTAGCAGCCAAACACAATGCATATTAGAAAGGCCACATATTGAAATAGTTTCAAGTCTGTCAATTACCAGTACTGCAGAATGGTTCTTTCCAAACCAAGCTATTCCTTTAACAGGTGTGCTAATTGGGCTCACTTTCCTTTATGCCACATATTTATATCATATCTTTGAAACAAAGACTGAAATATGAAGTTTCAGGTTACAGGAGCATGGATTCCAAGGGTGCTAAATATTTAAGGCCCTTCTCAGTGGGAAGAGAAATGAAGGCAGGACAACTTGGCGTCTGAGAAGGTGGGTACCCATAGGGGAAATTCTGAGAGGATTTCAGTCCTCCAATTTAGAGCAGCTTTCTTTTTTTTTTTTTCCCAATATATGAAATTTATTGTCAAATTTGTTTCCATACAACACCCAGTGTAGAGCAGCTTTCAATAGTATTCATCTTTAAGCAGTGTTGTATTTACATCGTATAGTTTCAGTCTTCAAGTAAAGTCTGTGGGGAGTGGACAGAAGGACCTGTGTTCGTGCTTGATGTAAACCAGTGTAAGAAAGTAGCATCATCCTCAGGGAAAGGGATCTTCAGATGGCCTGCGTTGACCTAATCGGGAATCAGAATGGACTTATGTACAATATAAATGATGGGGTTTGGGAATGGTGGTGGGGGTTCGGAGCTGACAGCCAAGAAATACTGTATTTCTTGACAGCCAAGAAATAATTCTTAAAGATGTCTTTGGTGCAAAAAGTTGATTTTATTAAAGCACAAGGACAGGACCCAGGGGCAGAAAGAGCTGCACTGGGGTTGTGAAGAGTGCCTGGTTATATACTACAGAGTTGGGGGAGGTAATGGCAAAAGGCAGGCCTCCAGAAGGACTCTGATATGCTAAAGATGACTCCAGGGATACCTGAGTCCTTGCTATTGTCAAGTTCAGGTTGTTTTTTCCTCTAGGAGGCATTATCATTAGGATGGTAGGGGGTTCGTGGAAAAATATTATGCTCTGTATTTGCCTCAAGTATTTGTCAATGAGCTCAGGTTAAAAGGACATTTAATTCTACCTGCCATTTCCTTCTTGCCTTTATTCCCCACATCACTATGGAGGGGAGGGTGATAATAGGTCCTCCAGGAAAGTGAATCCATAGTTTTCGGGAGATTAGGCTATTGATTGTAAACTGATAGATTAGGCTATTGATTGTAAACTGATAGAGATATGTCCTGCATGACTGTGATCTCTATCAGTCAACCACTTGTTTCCTTTCCTTTCCTTTTGCTCTTGGGAAGCCAGGAGTGGCTGAGGAATATCATACATATCCCACTGGTGGGGAGGAGGGGTGCTAGCTTGTGCTTTGTCCTCAGCTTGCCTCATAGTCCCTCATCATAAACATTACCTGGACAATTCCACAGATTCTTGGAGAAAGAAAAGACTGAATTTCCTTTACTCAAACCACTCAGTTACTCACTGTTACTCAACTATAGTTATTTATACATTAAAGGGAACTCATAGATTGAAGAAATTGTAGGAGGGAGTAAGAATGAGGATAACTTTGGGAAAATCTCTTATGATGAAAGGTGTTAGTTCTAAACAAATGGACTAGATGGTGGAGTCTCTCAGATTTGTGCTATTTTTTGCATTCAATAATGTATTCTGGGAGAGTCAAGATAATTGACTAAATCAGATACTCATTTAGGTATATCCCTAAATCAGCTAAAATGACCTGATAGCATTATACAATGGTCCAAAAAGTAGTAAAACTTAGAAAAAAATTTAGGAAGTAGGAGTTAAGATGGCACAGTAGTGGGGGACCTATGCTTGTCTTGTCCCTTCAACATAGCCAGATAAAGATCAACTCATTCTGAACACCCAAGAAATCAATCTGAGGACTGAGAGAACAAACTGCACATTCAGAGGGAGAAAAATGGCCACATAGTGGTAGTTAGGAGCTGCAAAGAGTTGATTTGGGGGAGAAAATAATCAAGGCTGCTGCAGAGGGGAGGGACCCCTGATCATGGAGAAGGAAGCAAGAGAGAAAGAGTGAAAGTAGCACATAGGGAATTGCATACGAAAAACTCTTCCCCAAAACCATTGGCTGAGAAAAGGAGAAGGGCTGACTATTGCAAGTTTTTATAAGCAGCAGATCTCAAAGTTTGAAGTTTTAGAAGTCCACCCTGATGTGGGAAATAAAGGCAGAAGGAAATGGAGATAAAATCATATTTCCTTATGACCTGCAGCCCATTGACAGATACTGGAAGCAAGCAGAGTAGAAAATTTCTCCCGGAACTCCCTACTGTCTTAATGTTAAAGCTTTGCTAGAGAGAAAAACAACTTTAGCCTGACAGCAGCTAAGCCTCCAATATCCTGTGAGTCTTCTTTAGCATATGAAAATCACTTTGGAAACTTCCCTTTGACTTTACCTCCCCCAACTACTAAGTATATAATCAGTCTCTCCTCATGGTCCCGGGGTGGCTCTTCCTGCCCACGGGTCTTGTCCCTGTGCTTTAATAAAATCACCGTTTTGCACCAAAGATCTCTCAAGAATCCTTTCTTGGCTGTGGGCTCTAGACCCCACCACCATTCCAAAACCCCATCACACACCATCTCTGCCTAGTCGACTCAGTGGTTCTCCTCTGGGGAAGGAGGACAGAGGCCCAGGAGTTGGACACTTAACTGACTGAGCTGCCCAGGTGCCCCCAGATGAACTAGATTTTAAACTGATGACTGTAATAGGAGATGAAGAAGGGTACTACATCATAATTAAGGGATATATCCATCAAGAAGATCTAACAACTGTAAATATTTATGCCCCTAACTTGAACACCCAAATATATAAATCAATTAATCACAAACATACCGAAACTCATTGATAATAATACAATAATAGTAGGGGACTTCAACACCCCCACTTAGAGCAACCGACAAGTCATCTAAGCAGAAAATCAAGAAGGAAACAATGGCTTTGAATGACACCCTGGACCACATGGACTCAGCAGATCCATTCAAAACATTTCATCCTAAAGAAGCAGAATACATATTCTTTTCAAGTGCACGTGGAACATTCTCCAGCATAGACCACATACTGGGTCACAAATCAGGCCTCAACAAGTACAAAAAGATTGAGATCATGCCATGCATATTTTCAGACCACAATACTATGAAACTTGAAGTCAACCACAAGAAAAAATTTGGAAAGACCACAAATACATGGAAGTTAAAGAACCTCCTTCTGAAGAATGAATGGATTAACCAGAAAATTAAAGAAGAAATAAATAAATAAATGGAAGGCAAATGAAAATGAAAACAGGACAGTCCAAAACCTTTGGGATGCCCCAAAGGTGGTCCTAAGAGGGAAGTATATAGCAA